TCCCCGTACAAGTCAGCTGCTGAGAACAGCAGCGGTGGCAGGAGTTTTGCCAGCCTGAGGCTTGGACTGAGGGCGAGGCACAAGGCTGATAGCAAGGGTCTCTGACTAGCCCTAGGCAAACCCAGCCTGGGTGGGGACATGGCAGGGAAGGAGTTAAGAGATGAATGGCGCTTCGTGAAAGAATAGCTAAAACAGAGCAGACGAAAGGAAGGACGTCTTCACCCAAAGAGAAATGAACACGTGGAATTTACTGACACAGGAAGTAGTGGCGGGTACAAGCATAGACAACTTCGAGAGGGGATTGGATAGACATATGGAGCAGAGGTCCATCAGTGGCTGTTAGCCACAAGGGGTAGATAGAATGGTATGTCTGGGGTAGAGATGCTCTGTATTCTTGGTGCTTGGGAGCAATGCTCCCTCTAAGCTGTGGCGTCTTGTGAGCAAAAATTCTACTTTGTATTAAAGCTGGCATTAAAGCTGCAAGTGAGCGATTTGGCTACTGCATAAATTAGTTTCTCTGGAGCCATTCTTCCTGAGCTAAGACAACAATCTGTGAGCTGAATGCTAAAAAACTGAGCTAGCTCACACTAACTCAGCTTAGAGGGAACACTGCTTGGGAGGCAACAGAGGGAGGGCTTCTGGAGTTCTGGCCCCGCTGGTGGATCTCCTGATGGCACCTGGGTTTTGGCCACTGTGTGACACAGAGTGTTGGATTGGATGGGCCATGGACCTGACCCAACGTGCCTTCTCTTATGTTCTTACGTTCTTATGAGCATAGATGGGCTTGGCCAGCATGGCTGGAGCCCCAGGGATAAAAAGGGAGATGTCAAGGGAGAAAGGGGCCGGGGGCATAGAGGGAGAGGATGGCAAGCTGTCTGGGAAGGGTGGAGGAGCCACAGAGAAAGGAGGAAGGGGAGCCTAGAGGAGCTTTGGACAGGATACAGCACCATGTCCTGGTCAGCGGAACCAACCCAAAGTAGAGGCACAGCTCAGTCCCTTAATGTTTTAAAGGGGCAGAGTGGGTGGGTAAAGGTAACCATGCTCATGTGTAGACCTGTTTGGCCTTGGTTCATGGCAATAAAGGGAGCTGTAATGAGCATCATTGAGTCTGGGCGATTCTCTGCCTACCATGGAAGATGCTTACAATGGCCTGCTGCCCCTAGTGGGGTCACTGCGCAATGGACAATAGCGTTGTCCTTTTGTCATGGTTCGAAACCTTTATTTAGTGTCTGTGGACGTGTTAAGAGCCAGAAGATTTGCTGCAGTGGGAAAGCGATCTCACTCTGCAGCTGTATGTGTATATGTGTGGGGATTACAGGGCAGTCCTAAGCAAAGTTCCAACTCTGGTTAGGATCATACTGATAGAGCAGCGATTGCAAACCCTCTTGTCTTGCGCAGGCCTCCCCCAACCTTTCCACGCAGCAGGAAGCAGAACGCCAGGCCATCCAGTCATTGCGCCAAGGGGGTGCCTTGACCAGCAAGTTCCTGAGCATGTCGTCTATCCCCAGTTGCCTTCTCGGGGTGGCCCTCGAGGGCGAGACCAACAACCACGGACACGCTTCGTTGCTGCAGCACGTCTTGCTCTTGGAGCAGGCACGCCAGCAGAACACACTAATCGCTGGTGAGCGAGGGGTGGCGGCGCAAAGCAGTGTGTGTGTGTGGAGATGGGCGGGTGTCACATGGAGGTGGGAGGCGGTTGTTTGGTGGTGGCATCATGTGGGTATATTGCTGATGAATGGGCATCCTTGGTAGACATGACTCCATTGGACTGTGCTCATGCTGGGTACTGCTGAATAGTCACTAGCTATGGAACTCTTGTGGCCCATAAATACCTGAAGGTGCCTTGGAGTGAGTCCAATCATTCTGCTTGATATGTAGAAGCTCCCGGTTCAGTCCCTGGCATCTCTGGTTGAAGGAATCAGGTTGTGAGTAGGGATGGCAGCCTCTGGGTGGGACCCTGAGATCCCATGGAATTACAGCTCATCTCCAGGCTACAGAGGTCAGTTCCTCTGGAGAAAATGGGTGCTTTGGAGGGTGGAGTGTGTGGCATTGTATCCCACTGAGGTCCCTGTCTTCCCCAGGCTCCATCCCCAAATCATCAGGTGTTTCCCAACCTGGATCTGGCAACCCTACTCCCCCATCCCCCACCAGTGGCCATGGAAAACCCGACAACCCTAGTTCATCATCCATCTTCTGTGCAGTCCCACATGGGGACTGCGCATGAGCAGGCTTGCCGTCGGATAGCTCTTTACAGCTAAAAGCCTCCAGGGGGCGCTGTGCGCCAGATCCAGAAGCTTGCTCCTGCTAGGGAACAGGTGCTCCTGCACAGCAGCCCTTCCCTTACCCTCAGTTCCTCTTTTGCTGTCAAAGGAGGTGGTCATGGTTTTGTAGTGTCCTCTTACAGTCAAGAGGATTTTTCTTCTGGATTTGTTGAAGCTATGTCAGCTTCTGGGTCTCTTCGATGGCTCAGAAGGCCCTTTTCAAGAAGTGCTCCCTATGTGGTATGAAGATGACCCAAACTGACCAACACGACCTTTGTCTGTTCTGTTTGGGCAAAGGGCATGTTGTCTCCACATGTAAGGTCTGCCAGCACTTCACCCATAAAGCTCAGGGGGATAGAGCATCAAAACTTAAGGCAGCGTAGTGGGAGAAAACCCTTAAAGCCTCAGAGCCCTCGTCCAAGTTGGTCCTGGAGAGATCTATCAATTCCATGTCTTTGGAATCGATGTGTTCAGCTCCACCTCCTGGATCTGTGTCTCAACCGATCCAATCTCAGTTGCGCTCCCCTCAGGCTCATCACGCCTCTTCTGAGCCTCCAGCTAAGAAGGCTAAAGGCAAGCCGAAGGAAAAGAGTAAATCGGCTCCTCAGCAGAATGCTCCCGTCTGCCCTCCTGATCCAATGTCAACCTTGCAGGAGAAGCCCAGGACTCCATCTCTGGGTTCGAGATCTCCACCTGTTTCTATCTCCGATGGGGAGGGGGATACTGGCTGAAAGTGTGGCCAGGTTCCACGTGAGTCCGATCTGGAGCAAATGGCCAAGGTTCTGTGGTCTCAGCCCCAGCCACCTATGCGGTGGCCTTCACATCCCTACACAGTGTCTCCAGGATATATGGAGGAATGGGACGACAACTTCACCAGCCCCAGGGGTGCGAGTTTGTATCATTACCCTCATTGGGTGTTGTATCCGCCATCAGTGACCTTCGCACGCAGGCTGTGTTCTCCTATTCCTGTAGTGAGAGGAGAAGAAACGGCAATTGAATCCGATGGATCCAATACAACATCAGTTCCAAGCCCTGATGAGAGGGTAGGCGAACCATCTCCGGCATCTCCCATGGAGGATCTCCCCAATTGTTTGGAGAAAAGATGATTTGTATGGCCCAGTCTCTCAAGATAGAAGTCATTTATCTCAGAGCACGTCCAAAGATAAGATACTGAGTTGCCTCTATTCAGAGTCTCCCAGGATTATTTCTTTCCCAGTGTTGGAGGATCTCATGCAGGAACTGAGGTGAAAACCTGTGTCTCCTGCCTACCTCCAGAAGGGCAGATCAAGAAGGAGCCATTTAACTATTTGATAACACAACCTCCGCCATCCTCCCCAGTTATGGAGGAGATGCAGCCAAAGGGCTGTCAGGCCTACCATTCCACTCCCAGAGATAGGGGAGGGGAAAAACTGGATGTTCTGGGTCAAAAATTATATTCTTCAGCAGCATCAGATTTCAAAATCGCTAACTATGAAACCATCATGGCTGGTTATTAGCTCTTCTTGTGGGAGAGGATTCTTCTGTTCATTGCACTCCTGCCGGAAGATAAGCGTCCCTTGTTAAAGTTCTGCATACAGAGGCCACTAAACTTTTGAAGCAGCAAATTAATGCGGGATGACATTCTGCAGATTCCGCTGCACGGGCCATGGCAAGCTCCATCGTATTTAGCCCCACACTTGGTAAGATCTACCACGTTGCCTATGGAAACCAGGCTTAAAGTTGAGGACTTACCTTTTGTAGGTTCCACTCTCTTGTCTTCCAAGATGGACGAGATGCTTTCCCTGATAAAGAAGAACAAGCAGACATCTAAGTCCCTAGGAGTCCTCCATATCCCAATTTAAGCAGAGGTCCTTTGTGAGACAGTCCATATCAAAGGGACTACCACTTTTCTTGCCCCTCAGGGTCTCAGTATCCTACCCCTAAGGCATTTGCCACATAACAGGGTCACCATAGGCATAAGGATTCCAGTCGACCTAGATCGAATCAGCCACTGCCAGCGAGGCAGATTCATCCCAAAAGTCATCCTTCTGACTAGGATTGTTGCCAACCCGTTAAGTTCAGGGACAAGTTCTAGCGCGTGCGCAGTAGATCCCATGGGTGTGAATGCACAGATGACCACTCGAAGATCACCAGTTACAGGTAAGCAACCTGTTTTTCCATGTATATCAAGAAGAAGAATCTGCCTGGGGAAATAGTGGTCAGATTCTCGAAGAGACATGTGAGGGATTCAATCTTGAAAGCAACTACAGGAACACCCTTGAAAATTGGGGACAAACATCATCAGGATTCTAAAAGACATTCCATTTGAAATAGGACAAAAGAGAAAGAAATACAAAGACATAATCCTTTTTCTACAAACAAACAGCATTGTCTACAGATGGTTAATTCCAGAAGACGTCATTTTCAAACTACACGATAAAAAAGAAAAGATTTACTCTGTCCTTAAAGCACGTGAGTTCCTGAGACTGCAGCTGGGAGAGACGGCCGAGGTCGCTTAGGAAGAAGATGACAGCAAATCCAGTGGCGAATTGGACTTGGTGTCTTCTGACGAGGACTCTGCTTCCGATAAGGGGGCGGCTACCCCCAAACGTGCATATCAATTGAGGATTAGAAAAGACAAAACAAAATGAAGGCTGAAGGACTCTGAATTGTGCCTTAAACCTTTAGTCTTACTATTGGATGCTCTGGGGGTTCTCTTAAACAGTTAAATTAATGGATAAAAAGATAAAATAATTTAGCATAATACTAGCAAAGTAATACTAGCAATTTAAGATTAACATTTATATAAACTGTTGTTATGATCTCCTATTCTTGGGGTTTTAGTTATTAGTGGTTTTCTTTTCTTTCTCCCTAGATGTAGATTCTCCTTCCCAGTTTTTCGTTGTAGTTTGTAGTCTATTAAAAATTGCAATAAAAAATCCCCTCCGTGGCCCCCCCCCCCAAAAGTATCTTCTGTGCAGGCACATGCACCCTCTTTCCTGCCCTGCTGCATGCTTTTGCTTCAGTTGCGCTAGAGGTACTGAGGGGGGGGGGGCGCAGCTGTGCAGGAGCACATGGTCGCTGGTGGAAACAAGCTTCTGGCTACAGTGTGCAGCGCCCCCCAGAGGCTCTTAGCTGTAAAGACCTATCCGATGGCAGGCCTGCTCATGCGCAAGTCCCCATGTGTGCCTGCACAGGAGATACTTAATGAACAACAGTTACAGGTAAGTGCAACTTTGTTTTGTCAGTGACGTGAAAGGCCTCTACCTGGGACCCTGGAGAGCTGCTGCCAGTCTGAGTAGACAGTACTGACTTTGTTGGACCAATGATTTGATTCAGTATAAGGTAGCTTCATGTGTCTGTTAATATCAGTATTGTTTACTTTGACTGCAGTGGCTTTCCAGGGCCTTAAGCAGCAGTTTAACATACCACCTGTTACTGGAAATAATGGGGATTGAATCTTTCGTAAATACTTTTCAACTGAGCCACAGTCCCCACCCCATAAGTTGAAATACACGAAGCTGCCTTTTGCAGAGTCTGATCTTGTCTACTCTGACCAACAGCAGCACCTCTCCAATGTCTCCTGTGGAGCTTTTACACATCACCTGCTACCAAAATCTTTTAACTGGAGATGCCTGGGATTGAACCTGGGGCCTTCTGCATGCAAAGCAGATGCTGTACCCACTGAGCCACGGCTCCTCGCTGGGGCAGCAGTAGCCAGCGGAGCTCTTGTACTCTCAACTGCTGTTTTAATGTTCCTTTGCTCACTGTAACATGGGAGCGGCTGTCCCCCACTTCCCAGGTTTGTCAGTTCCAAATTAACTCTGAAAATGAGCACCTTGCCTTCAGTTCCTCCTCCCCACCAGTTTTAAATGAAATATGAGGATGGTCTCTGAATTAATCTCTTTCCCCTCCGTTGTAGTTCCTCTGCACGGCCAGTCCCCCCTGGTGACGGGGGAACGTGTCCCCTCCAACCTACGGACGGTCAGCAAGCTGCCTCGGCACCGCCCCTTGAGCCGCACCCAGTCGTCGCCATTGCCCCAGAGCCCTCAAGCACTACAGCACTTGGTTGTGCAGCAGCAGCACCAGCACTTCCTGGAGAAACAGAAGCAGCAGCAGATTCAGCTGGGAAAGGTGGATAGAGAAAAGGGGTGGAGGTGCTGGGGTGGGGACAACCGTAAGACCCCGCTTTTCCTTGGCACCCTCCAGCTTCAAACCCAGCGTCCACCAGGCTCAGTGGAACCATGGATGCACTCTAAGGAGCTGCATCCCAGCCAGCCAATCGGTGACAGCAGGCCTTTTAAGAGTTGGCCAGTCAGTGCCCACTGTCCCTTGATAAGTTGTCTTAACAAATCAGCTTCCTGGTGACTCCTCCCTCTGGTCAGGAAAGGAGAGTGGCCAGGAAGAGATTGTTTCAAGGCCACCACTGGTTTCTTGGATGTGGCCATGGCACCTGGATGCCTCTCTTAGCAGAGTAGCAGATTACCCAGAATCCCTTGCAGTATTAGAGGCCTCCAATCAGGGGCTGTGATGGTTCTTGGCAGAAGCCCAATTACGGTGTCCACCCTGCTCCTGTTGGCCCCATAAAGGGCAGCAGCAAATGCTGGAATCTCTCTCAGCCTGATCTGTCACAAGGGCTGCCAGTTGCTCCTTGCTCGTCGGCCAAGGTTGTGTGTTCATTTCCTGCTTTTCTTCTGAAGATCATTACCAAGACTGGCGAGCTGCCACGGCCGCCCACCACGCACCCCGAAGAGACGGAGGAGGAGCTGACGGAGCAACAGGAGCCTTTGGGCTTGGGCCAGGGCCCCTTTGTCCTGGACGGGTCAACAGAAAGCGAAGAAACACAGGATGACCTGGAGGAGGAGAAGGAGGAGGAAGAAGAGGAGGAGGTGGACTTGGTGGAAGAGCAGGGCTGTCTCCAAGTCAAGGACGAAGCTGGGGAGAGCGGGCTGGAAGAAGAGCCGGAAGTTGAGGAGTTGGGAGTGTCTTACAGGCAGGTGAGTCTTGAATTAAAATCAGCTAAACCTGGGTGGAGGTCTCTTTTTCAAGGAAAGATGCCTGTAAAGGGAGGGACCCCTCTAACCTGCATTTTCCCTAGTGCTAGCTGCCCTTCACAGGGAGGGGACAGATGCAGTGGGAGAGAGGCATTCTTGACACTATGACGCAAGCTCGGCCTTGTAGCAGTGTTGCCAGCTGTGCAAGAATTCCTGTTCTCTACATGTGCTACAGGACCTTTGGCACTCCGATACACAAATACGGGAAAGTTCAGGGTTGTTCAATGCAATGCCAATCTGGTGTGCCATGAGTCGGAGAAGAATCTGGGTGGCTATGACAGGGTGCATATTTATTTATTTTATTTATTTATATTTGAATTTATATCCCGCCCTACCCCGAAGGCTTTACTGCCATTGATGCCTAAGGAGGGCTAGTCAGCAACCAAAAGAGAGCTCCAATTTTGTATTCCTGTCTTCCCAACGCAGCACATACAGCAGCAGAGCGTGAAGGAGAGTCTCCCCTTTGTTCTCCCCTTTTCTGCTGCTGTGCTGCCAGTGGAATGGCAAAGGTGGGTTTTCTCTCATTTTTCTAGCAAGAGTGCAGATTGTTGAAGAAATACAAGAGTAGAGAAGAGGAAAGGCTACAGCCCTTTAAAATGGGATAGGCATGGGTTCAGCTGAGAAGTCTGGCGGTCCTGTTGCCTAAGGCAAGAAGGGCAAAACTATCTGTATCAGACAGGTGGTCCAGCATCCTCTTTCTGAAAGTGGCCTGCCAGATGCCGTCCCCGAAAGGCTACGAGCAGGGCACATAGTCTAAAACCTTCTGCTTCCCCCCCGCCCCCAACTTTCCAGTAACTTACATTTTCTGTGTTGGGAACTCTGATCAGGTGGAAAGGTGGCATAACATGTTCTAAATAAAATAAATATTCAGAGGTACACTGCCTCTGAACATGGAGGTTCCATGTAGCCATAAATTGGTCTAATCCCCTTATAAGGACGTTAAAGCTACTGACCATCACTGCAGCCTGTGGCAGTGAGTTCCGCACACTAACGCCCCATCATATGAAGGACTTTCTTTTCCTTGAACTGGTGTTGTGCTGCTTCCAAGCACATTGCTGAGGTGAAGTACTACTGAAAGAGAAATGCAAGAGGAAGTAAAACAACAGCTTCTCTCCCCACCTGAACACAAGCTGAGAATCTGGGGTCTCTGGAAAGATTATTGCCATCTGATAATCTGCCTGGTAGAGTCCTTCCTACTGTAAGGAGATGGGGTTTGATTCATCCCTGACACAGTTGCTCTTTTTGATTCTGAATCTCTGGATTTAATTTTTTTTTTGCTATCGCATTTTCATGCATTGTAAATACCACAGGGTTTTGGGGCAGAGTGTCCACTGTCCAGCCTTGGACCAGTAGACTCCCACACCAGCTGCTCCTTGAGTATCTCATGTTTTGTCTTGGGCCTACTTGTCCCCTTCCCCTCCAGCACTGCCAAGGCCAGCGGCAGTAGCGATACCTTCTGCGCTTCCACATCTAGCTCGAGCCTAGCTCAAGTTTTATCCTTGTTGGTGCCACTACATGTTGGTGTGCTGGCTCCTGTGCAGCACGTAGAAACTCTCGGCCCCTGGCCCGGAATGCTTGACCGACTGGGCTGGAGCGTGGCAGAGGCTTGGCACAGCCGTCTCTTCTGGCTCCCAGGGTCGTGGATGCTGTTGCAGTCCTCCTGATAGTGGACTTCCTAGAGGCCGCTGGTTGGCCACTGTACGAACAGAATGCTGGACCTGGTAGGCTTTTGGTCTTGGTGGTCCATCATGGCTCTTCTTATGTTCTCAGGACCCAAAGGGATCGACAGCCACGTGGGTGAGGGTGGGGAGTGGGAAGGGGAGTGAAATTGCCCCTCCACCCTCTTCCATCATCGTCAGCTTTCCTGAGGTCAGAAAGAGGGAAACGCAGAAAAGATCTGCTTCTACCAGCACAGAGTTGGAAGGGGCATACAGGCCATCTAGTCCAACCCCCTGCTCAATGCAGGATCAGCCTAGAGCATCCCTGACCAGTGTCTGTCCAGATGCTGCTTAAAGACTGCCAGTGAGGGGGAGCTCACCACCTCCCTAGGCAGCTGATTCCACTGTTGCACGACTCTTAATGTAAAAAAAAGTTTTTCCTACCCTTCCTGCCCTTAATTTAAACCCATTATCCTCTGCCGCCAACAGGAATGGTTCCCTTGCTTCCTCTAAGTGACAGCCCTTCAAATACTTAAAGAGAGCAATCATGTCCCCCCTCATGTGCTGTAAGGCATTGCTCTTCCACTCGTGGGTCATTGCGCTTTGGACTGGCATGCTGGATCAGAGCGGGGGTGGTGGTGGTGAGGCTGATGGGGAAGTGAACAGCTAGTCAGGTTTGCCTTGGAAGCAGGGAATTGTGTTGCATCTCCTTTTTCATCCTTTTTTGGCTTTGTGATTCTGTGGGCAGGTGGGGATGGACAAAGGGCCACAGCAGTGGGGCCAGTTTGAGGCTTTGGAAGCCCCAGGCAAAGAGTTCCCAGGGGCCCCTTCCCCTCCTCTGCCCACACCAGCACTAATGCCCTCCTTCCCTCCCACCTGCTTGTGTGGCCTTCCCTTGCCTGCTCACAAGCACTCCCACCGCCCGTTCTCACAGCTGCCTGCAGACCTTTCCCCAGCAGCACCAGAGCGGTGGGGGCAACTGGGAGCATGGATTGTGAAGCGCTCTCAAGTGAGTGGGGGGGGGGTTGCTGTCAGTGGGCCCTGTCAGAAACCCTGAGCCCCGGCCGCTGCCGCACCTCAGGGTACGTTGACGCTGGCCCAGACGTCAGCAGTGCAGACGGAGGCAAAGTGCTAGGGAGGCAAGAAAGGCCTCGCTGAGAACGCGGGCAGGGGATGAAGACAGAAGGCAGCAGATCTCGTATCTCCATCTCTCAGCCCATTCATTCAAGACAGCAGAGTGGAGTCTCCAGAAGGGAGAATGACTCACCTTCCACCAGGCCAGGGCCCCCTCTGTCGTCCCCCCCCCCAGCCTTTGCGTCTATGCACCCTTTCCACTTCCCTCCACCCACCCTCTTCTGCATCATCCTGAAGTATGATTCATCTGTCTTTCATTCTTTCATTTCTTTTGCATACCTAAATATTTCCCTATGTCAGAGCGTTTGGCAGACAGATAAGTCTCTTTGTCTGGGAGGTTTTGTGCAGAAAAGGGTTTGGGGGGGGGGGTGGATTGGGAAGGAAGGATTCCAAAAGGGGGTAGTTAAATGTTAGCTGGATGGCAACATTCATGTAGCACAGGGCCTATTGCTAAAATGAGCATAACCAGATCTGGAGTGGTCAGGGAGAGGTCTTTGTTGCTTTGCCTGTGGGACTTCTTTCCACAACCAGCCAGGTTCCACTGATTTGTGCCACCATGGGAGCATGCAAAATGGGATTGGATCAGGGCAGGCTGCTTTACCACAAGGCACCTTTGCCATCATGGTCTAGCACTAACATACTGCTGAGATCCAACATTTGGAAGCTTCTGCAATGGTGTGGTTGAGCCCTACCAGAGTCCAGGGCATGAGTGGCCATGTTGAACAGTCAGGGTTTTGCATGCATGTTTCACCAAAGTCCTAGACTGTTTATCCAGTTCAGCTTGATTTCTGGGGTCCAGTAGGCACATGGAGGTGATTTGAAAATTGCTCCCTGCCTGTGGATAGCTGGTTGCATTCCAATAAATGCAAAAAGCTTACTCTTGTGCAGGGCAGCAGCTGCCGACAACCAGCTGGCCACCAGCAAGAAAAATGGAATTGTTGAAGAGGGCACTTTCAGAAAAGGAATAGGGTTGTCGTTTACAGTGCCCTTGATCATCCAGATTATCTTGTTTCTGTTGCATTGTTTTCTAATTTTTGTAACCCAGTTGTTGCTTTAGTTATGGCATGCGGGTGACAGTGTCCTAAAGGACCAAGTTGTAGAGCCACTTCCGTGTGCAGTCTGCCAAAAGGAAGTGCAGCTGGAGTGGAATTCCCCCCCCAGATGATGCTCAGTTTAAGGGTTTTCACAACCTGCCCTCATAGCAGAAGAGCTTCCCAAAAGAGGTGTGTGGAGTAAAACGGGCCCATTCCAGAAGCCAGCCAGTTTCTCAGCTGCTCCACTATTTGTCTTCTGCACTAGAACAACTGAGGCGTGTGGATCCTTTGCCCTGGATCTGCTCTGCCTTTTGCCGTTGCAGAAGCCGTCCCTCACTGTGGAGTGTGTTCCTGGGACACTAGGAGCTCCTGCTCCTGCAAGACCAGTGCCTTTAAATGAGCTGAAAAGCACTAGAGGACCACACTCCACATCAGAGGACTGGTCTTGCTGAGCATGTGGAGTGTTGATGCACCAACATGTTACCTGTTGTGGACAACTGAGCACAGGGGACTCTTGAGGTTTTTTTGCCAGCAACTTAAGATGTTGCCTATTTGTTTCTCAGCTCAGTTCAAGATGGTGGCTCTTAGCTTGTAAAGCCTTTCATGACATGGAACCTATAATCCTTAACAGGCTGCCTTTCCCACTACAAACTCAAATGCTACTTTAAGCTGATAGAGTGGGCTCTATTAGTTTAAGTCTACAAAGCCTCCCAGTGGCATTACAGAGGGCCATCCTCTTAACACAGAGAGTCACTTATGATTTATGATACCAGATTTCTTTCCCCCCAACCTCTCCCTTTCCCCCTCCCTTTGTGTAATTTTCCGTATTAAAATTAGGGAAATAATTTTCTTTCTTTCATTGCATCCAAGGAAGTGAGCTCTGATTCACAAAAGCTCATGCTGGAGTAAATGTTGTTAGACTTCAAGGTGCCACTGGACTTCTTGTTTTGTCTTCCTCCTTGCCATCTTTTGGGAGGCCTGAGAGGCTTTTTTTAAAACTTTATTAAGTCTTCCATGTTTTGACTCTGCAGAACTGTCTTTTGTTTATCTGTTGAGTTGAGCTAGGGTTTTTTAAATTGTGTTTTTATGGTCATTTTATGTTTACATTTGAGTTGTGAGCCACCCTCAACTTACTGAAGAGCAGGGTATACATTTTCAAATCCCCCCCCCCCCCCAGATACATAAGTATTTGTCTGATGGCTTAAGGGACACTGTGTTAAGGTTGATTCCTTTGGCGTGTGGTACTACTTTTGGCATTGAAACCTACATAAAGAAGACTGATCAGGCTGGCAATAGAACTAGGTGCAGTCTATGTAATGCTTTAGGACACGACCCTCAAGGGGGAGTCAGAGAGCTTAATATGGTTACACTTTTCAGCTACTAAAGTAATGCAGCTGCTGAATGTTCTGTCGGTTTCTCCTTCTTTCCCTCCCTCCCTGCCTGTGTACCTGGCTGGTATCCCCTACGCGATTTTGGCAGGTGTTCGCAGATGCGCATCAGCTAAGACCCCTCCATCTCTATCAGACGCCCCTGAGCATCAACACTCTGCCCCATCAAGCCCTGAGCCGCACCCAGTCCTCTCCCGCCAGCACCAGCCTGAAGAGCAGTACAGCGGAACCTGTGATCAAGCACCTTTTCACTACAGGTAGGAAGTGACACAAATCCTTCTCCTGGAAAATGGTGCCAAGACCCCAGACACAGGGCTGATTCCTACAAAGAGGTTGTGTGTCTGCCTTGGAAACTGAAACCCAATCTTTTGCCCTGGAAGTCTACCAGCCACATGTGCAAGGGAAAGACACTCCGCATGTGTGCAGGAACACATTATCCTTTACTGTTACGACTTCCATCTTGCAGGATGGAGCATTGCCATCCAAACCAGGTTCTGGAGCTGACGGCTGCCTCAAATTTAAACCCTGGTGTTCAGCCTGTCTCCGTAGGTCTTAACCTAGGTGTACTTCGAGAGTCACTTTGGTGTTTTGCCAGAGGAGCCAGACTCTAGTGCAGTATACTGGTGCTTCAGAGGGTTTTTTTGGGGGGGATGCTCTGCCAGGATCGATCAACGTCCAGAAATTGTCTTGTTGGACTTCCCCCACAGCAGTCACTGTGTTGAATATAACCCATAAAACCCCAGTGAGCAGATTTCATCCCAACTTTGGCTCTTCTGTTCCCTTCCTGCAGCTCCGGTTCACCCAGCTCTCCTATAAACTCTTCAAACGTGACCTTCCAAGGAAATTATTCCAACAAACTGCGATTATGCAAGTCCACAGCTTTATTTGGGCATGTAATATGAAGGTTCTCCTCCTAGTTGTGCCATTTCGGAACTTTTCAGTGCAGACGTACACGCCCTGTCCTCTCCATTCACAGCTTAGGAGTAGGACTTTTGACCAGCTCCAGAACCTGGTCTTCAGATCTGTACTTTGTGCTGGAACATATTTTAAGTGCTCTGTGTTTTAATTGCTGGGTCTGTGTTTTTACATATGTGTTTTATGGTTGTTTTAGGATGCTGTGTTTTTAAATGTGAAATTGGTGACCCAAATTGAGCAGCAGAGCAGACTATAAATTCTGCAAATAAATATGAAGTCACAAATGCCTTGGAGCATATGCAGAGTATATTTTATTCCACACTGAGCAGCCACAGTTAGCTTATATACGTCAGGTGTTGTGATGAAAAGGTTCCCTATACAAAGAAATTCTCTACACGTTTGAATTTGGGCTCTTACTACTGCTGCTGTGTACTCACCCATTTTCCTTTCTTCCTTTTCCTTCTCTCCCCCCAATCTTCCTATGACCCTGTCCCCCCATTGTTCTTTTCTGCCCTCTCACAGGCGTAGTTTATGACACGTTCATGCTAAAGCACCAGTGTACCTGTGGAAACACTAACATTCACCCAGAGCATGCTGGGAGAATCCAGAGCATCTGGTCCAGGTTGCAGGAGACGGGGTTGCTGAGCAAATGCGAGGTAAGCATCCTCGGGTGGGGGGTGGGGGACTCCTGCCAGCAGGTAGCAAGCCAGCAGCAGAGGCCAGGTTGGAAGGGTGACTGAAAGTCAGGTTTACCATGTCATGTGCCTCCCATCTGAGAACCTCTGGCCCATTAAGAGGACCCTCACAAAAAAGTAGTACCTAAAAAGTAAAATAAATATCAGTATCTCAGGTGCAAAATGGCCATCAAAGACGCTTATAAAAATAAAAGACAGTACAGGATCTAATTTTTGATGCATAGATTCGAATAATTCCCCCTGGAAGGTTCGGTGCATACTGATGTTCAGTCCAAAGGAAATTGACAAGAAGCCGGTGCTAGCAGTAATGTCCACATTCCGTAGATACTTCTAGTTAAGAACACACATTTAAAAAAAATAAATCCTGTAATACAATAGGGAATGCCCACATTCCTGCATGAAAAATATCACTGTTTCCCCCCTCCCCAGTCCAATCCCGGTCATTTTCAAGCAGGTTACTTTGTCACATTTTTCATGCAGGAACGTGTATTGACTTTTTAAGAGTGCTTACTTCCCCTGGGCTGGACATCAGTATGCACTGAACCTTCCCGGGGAAAACATCTATGCAGTTTCTTGATGTCTGCCACATCTTCAGATTTAGCTATGAGGGTGAGTCTTTTATTCGTTTACTTCCTTTATGCTGTTGCAAACAAAAAGAAACGAAAGAAAAGAAGAGAGAGCCAGCATAGTGTGGAGTAGTTAGAGTGTTGGACTAGGACCGAATCCCCGCTCTGCCATGGAAGCGCACTGGGTGACCTATTTTGGGCCAGTCATACACTCTCGGCCTAACCTACCTCACAGGGTTGTTGTGAGAATAAAACAGAGGAGAGGAGAGCGATGTAAGCTGCTTTGGGTTCCCACTGGGAAAAAAGCAAGTATAAATGGCGTAAACACATGGATAAAACACTGAACAGTATTTCATATGTCGTCTTTTGGTAGGATTCTGTATCGAAGTAATAATTGACACTGTATGAACTGTGTCCCCCCCCCCCAAGTACTGAGTCTAGAACGGACACATATGTACTTTACAGATTCACACTGTGTGTCGTAAGTTTGGAAGGAGCAGCTGCAGTGTCGAGGAATCTCGTCAGATCTCGAAGCTAAGCAGGGTTGGCCCTGGTCAGTATTTGGATGGGAGACCGCCAAGGAAGTCCAGAGTTGCTATGCAGAGACAGGCCATGGCAAACTGAGCATCTCTTGCCTTGAAAACCCTACAGGGTCGCCGTAGATCGGCTGCGACTTGACGGCCAAAAAAAAAAAAAAGCAGGCTATGACTGTAGGTGGTCCCATTCATAAGCAAGCACAATCCAACTACAAAGAAGTCACTTGTTGATATCAATAGGAATGTATCAGTTTCCGAAAATGTATTTAGATTCAGGTGGGTAGCTGTGTTGATCTGAAGCAGCAGAACATAGTTCAAGTTCAGTGGCACCTTTAAGACCAAGGTATAAGTATAATAAAAGGTGTTCAACAGATGCAAAGACCAAACTGAAATGACAAGCTTAGTTTATATGGTTGCCATTTGTTTAGGTTTCATTCCGGGGGGAAACATAGTGAAGGAAATAAATCTATCAAAATCAGAGATAGATGGGCAGATCTACCCTTCTTAATTGTGGAATGCTGAGAGCAATTGGTCCTTGCATTTGTTAAAAACCTTTTATTATGCTTATGCTAACTTGCTGCTTGCCCTCTACCTGTATGTATGGACTTGTAACTTCCATTTCAATGTATCCGAGGAAGTGGGCATGCACAGAAAAGATTATCCCTTGAATAAAACTTTGTTGGTCTTAAAGGTGCTACTGGACTTGAACTTTGTTCAGAAAATGTACTGTTACTGTGAATGTTGAATGATATATTTGAACTCACATACTTACAAATAAGATTTTTTTTGCCTCTGTGTGTGTTTTGGTTTTTTCTTCTTAAAACTGTGAATATCAGCAGACATCCATTTTTAATTCCATTGACAGCCCTTGACACTGCAGCTGTTCAGTTCAAACAATCTTGTGTGACTTGTTGCCATGAACAAGATGTTGCTCTTAAAGAGAACGCATTGCCCAGGGCTGCATTTTCACCGTAGTGACAGCAGGGTCTGTACCTGGGGATGTGAACTCTTCTATGTCAGGGAAATGCTGGGGGTTATATTTCTAAGAGTGAGAAAATGGTAACTTTTGACAACACATGGTGCAGGTGGGTGTGCAGGTCAGCATTAGGTAACTGGCAAATTTTAGAATCGCTTGTGGTTTCTCTTGTGAAAGCACCCTGCATGCATAGCGCAAAGGGGATGTTTTAGCTAGTCAGTGGCACGCTGCTGTTTTTGTTAGTGCAGTTGTCAGGCATGACAAGGAGTGGAAAGGAAAAAAGTAGCAGAACACCATCCAACTTTGGCCCAGTTGGCGACCCCTGTAGCATAGGGTGTATCTCTGGCTTTAAACCGGCTTGACATTGACACTCTAACTGAATTTCAGCACAGATCTTAAGACATAGGCCTCAAGTCACATGCTGAGGGGAATAGACCTTTGGAAGCAACCCTGACAACGGGCAGAGAGGTTCTGGCAGAGATTATCCAAGATCCACACTCACCTTTCTCTGTCCTGAACTCCTTCTTTCCTTCTGCTAGAGGATCCGAGGCCGGAAAGCGACGCTGGATGAAATCCAGACGGTCCATTCGGAGCATCACACGTTACTCTATGGAACCAGCCCCTTGAACCGGCAAAAACTTGACAGCAAGAAATTGCTAGGTAGGGAATCTGGTGTCTTGGCCACCGTTTTGCATTAATTTAGTGTAGCCACAGTTTGCAGCTTAGAGGGGCTCTCAGTCTTTCCTTCAGGCACACAAGACGGTGGGGTGGAGAAGGCTCAGGGATTTTTGTGCATTAATTTTCAAATTATGGGAATTGCACCTTCAAAGCTCTTACATTCAATTTTTTTTGTTATTGTACTTTTTGTCTGATTAAACTGTACACTGGTCTAAAGACTGTAATTTGAAAAAATAGCGGAGTAGCAAAAGTAGGTTAGAGAATAATGAGGAAGAAGTTGGGGTGGAAGTGACCTAGGGCCAAGGATGGGTCAGGAGGGGCTTTGCTGAAGAAGTGGATGTTCTGAGGAGACTGAGAAAATGGGGGGCATTTGGAGGAACGGAGGAAGTGTGTGGCAATGAGTGTGGGACGCTTCCAAAAAGTACACAAGAGCGGGCCTTTTCAGTGGCAGCTCCATGATTACGGAATAACCTCCCCCGGGAGGAGTGCCTGGCCCCCTTACTTTCGGTTTTTAGGCAGCAGCTGAGGATGGTTTTATTTAGGATGGCATTTGATTAAAGTAGTCCTAAACTGTGATTCTAGAGAAGTTGGCCTGGTATAGCCCGATCTCATCAAATCTTGGAAGCTAAGCAGGGTTGGTACTTGGAAGGGAGACCACCAATGAAGACTCTACAGAGGAAGGCAATGGCCAACCACCTTTGGTTCTTGGAGGTGTGGTTTTTTCAGCGGGATTCCTGGGCGGGGGGTGAGACTTCAGCATTCCTCATAAGCAGTAATTGTGTGCTGACAGCCTGGATTTGCATGATAGCCACAGGTCAGGGTTCCATTTTTCTTGGTGCAGGATGTGGTTTAACTGAGGCAGAACATTTGCCTGTGGCTGTGTGTTTTAATCAGTGTCTCCATAATTTTTTTTGTGGGGTAGAAGATAGGGGCAGAAAAGTTGAGCTTAAATGTGGGGAGGGAACTCACATTGGCCACGGACAGAACAATCCTGTGCTGTAGCACTAGTCTATTCCTTATAGGTATGAGTTACGCAGTGGCCAGCAGACAAAAGTTGGTGGGTTCTCAGTATTTTGTGATTGGGGTAGTGTCTATAGCAACCCCACCACTGAGGTCAGTGGAGGCGTTGTGTGGAGGCGGAGGCACTGTGATGGACAGGGCTGCCAGAACCAATCAGATACCATGTGGCAAGGGGGTGGAGTCCAGTGTCCATCTCAGGCAGGGGGTGGAGAGGGGCAGGCCACAGGAGTTCCGCTCCTTGTCAGGAGCACACCCCCCCCCCAAAGGGAACGAAACCCGGGCACAGATTCAGGCACCTGATAGTGGGGAAGAGGTTCGAGCTGTCTGCCCTACAGGCATCCGCAGCTGCCTCACTGCCCACAATGGAGCACAGGGTCCCCGAAGGGCAGAAGGAGAAGGGGGGCTGTCGTTTCCACCCTATCCATTTGCTCACCGGAGGGCACGCTTCGCAGCAACCCAGCCACATTGCCGAGGGCACTCCTGCGCCACTCCTGCCAGTGGCGGAGCAGGAGAGGGGGCCTCTGGAGTGGGCTCAGATGTGGGGTCATGCAGCACCACCCTCAGATCCCCCAATTCCCTCCTCAGTGGAGCGGAGGGGGGGTCATTCCACTCTGGGCTCTGTCATTCCAGTCCCAGAGACATCAGTGCCCAGAGACTATCGTTCCAAATCCATTCGGCATTCATCATTACTGCCACGTGTAGTAATGTAGTATTAATGTATTTCAATGGAAACCATGCAAGTCATTTGGCATCCCTGGCTGCCACTCTCTCCAAACCCCACCCCCTTACAAAACATCGAGTCCACCTGCAGCACAGGCTCCCCCCCCCAAGCCGTTGACTCCAGGGACCCCGTGATCCCCTGCCCCTTCATTGTTTCCTTCACAGATACCTTTCCCCGGGTGATAGAAGCCCTTCCTTCCTAGAGCAGACACACAGTTATGAACTCCGTTCATTCACTCTGTTTCCCACGTTTCTTCCCTAAGTGGCTTACACCCTTCCCCTCTCCTCCATTTCATGCGCACAACAACCCTGTGAGGTTGGTTAGGCTGATAGAAGAAGAAGAGATTGGATTTATACCCCGCCCTTCGCTACCCAAAGGTGTCTCAGAGCGACTTACAAACTCCTTTCCCCTCCCCACAACAGACACCCTGTGAAGTAGGTGGGGCTGAGAGAGCTCTGACAGTAACTGCTCTTTTTCAAGAACAGCTCTTATCAGAGCTACGGCTTGCCCAAGGTCATCCAGCCAGGTGCAAGTGGAGGAGTGGGGAGTCAAACCCGTTTCTCCCAGATTAGAGTCCGCGCACTTAACCACTACACCAAACTGGCTCTGTGTGTGCATGTAACCCAAGGCCACGCCACCTAGGTTCCATGGTGCAAGTGAGGATTGGAATCTGAGTCTCTCAGATCTAGTCTCATGCTCCAACCACTGCACCAAGCTGTCTTATTCACCCAGACTACCCTCTGGCCCTTCCCTCCTTCACACAGCAGTCTGCAAGGTGAGGGAGGGAACCTGTTGTTTGGTCAGCTTTGGAGGTGCCGCTGGGCCCTGCAATGTTTGGCAGATGACTATGACCAGTGGGACCTGCACAACCATCCACAGCCACCCAAGGCATCTGAGAGCCCTCCCTCTTAGATGTGTCCCCGTGAAGCCCTCAGGGGGAGTCACAGATGGGCTGGGCAGGGAGAGGTGTGGAACTCCTGTCATGTAGTCAGAACCAAACAGACAGAGACACAGTTATGGCACAACACAGACTTTATTGAACTGCAAACCATGGCGAGGTGTGAAGACTCCATTCGTTTCCTCCCTGGGGCAATGGGGAAGAGGACTGAAGATCCCCCAGCATGGCATGTGTCTAAGTGGGATGGCAGTGCAGGTGGAACTTGGAAGGGCTGGCCGGGTGCTACGCTCCACTTCCAGAGGAGAGCTCTGCAGCCCTCATCCCCCATAACCTTTGTCCATGCAGGTCCCATGATCCTCAGCATAGCCTTTTGGGCAATCAAAGGAGACCCCTTCCTCCCTTCCTCACTAGTTTAAAAGCTAGCTGGATCTAACCCTTCATCCATACTCGGTTGTGCAAAACTTGTCCTTTCCGACAATGGTGTAGAACAGCCTGGTTGTGGTGCAACATGTCTGTGCTCTGGCTCCCCACTGCTTGCCCCTTCCTGGTTCCAGTTCTCATTCTCATGGCTTCTCCTAAGTGGATAGGTGTGTGTGTACCTCTGACATGCTCTCTGCCTGCTGTAAATGTTCACCTTGTCTTCTTCTCTGCCTCTTTCTCTGCAGGACCCCTTACTCAGAAGATGTATGCCGTCCTCCCATGTGGAGGCATTGGGGTACGTATGTGACTCTTGAATATTAATGTTTGGCAAAGGAAGGATGACATTTTACTTCTCATGTCCCTGGTTGTTTTTGTTTTGCCTCTCATCTTCTGATCCCCCCCCCCCGATCGTGCCTTTTGAATCTTCCCATGTCTGCATCTAATTGCTTATGTCTGTTGTGAAACACCTCTGAGCTATCCTGCCCTTTGTAGACAGTTTCACTGTGTTTTGGAAAATGCCCTGTTTTATTTTATTTATTTATTTATTTAAAACCTTTTTAATGCTGCGTTTCCAACTGATCAGGCTCCCCAAGGCAGTGCACATTAATTAATTAATTATCATATGACATTGTGTGTAGAATAGGCAGGAGATCCTAAGGCTGTCTGGCAGCCGCAAGTTCTTAGCTCTTAGCATTAAGCTAGTGGCAAGCTAGACTTGTTTTTAGGGGCTGGGAGAGCTCAGAAAGAACTGACTGGCCCAAGGTCACCCAAGCTGGCTTCATGTAGAGGACTGGGGAATCAAACCCGGCTTTCTAGATTAAAGTCCACCACTCTTAACTGCTACACTAAACTGGCTCACTAGGCTGTGCACATAAAACATTAGAACAATGTAAAGCATTATAAAATAGTCCAATAAAAACAACACCAAAACCAGGGAGGAGGGCCAATAATGGTTATTAGGGGGTATGCCAAACAAAGCAAAACAGTCTTCACCCACTGGCAGAAGACACTGATAGAGCAAGACAGATGAGTCTCCCTGGGGAGGGAGTTCCAAAATTTTTGTGCTATGACCTTTTTTGGTTTGCCACCTGCCCAGCCTCTGATAGTGGAGGCAGCTGAAGCAGGTCTCTGGAGATGCCTGGAGTGTGTGGGTAGGTTCATACAGACAGGACAAAGTGGTCCTGGACATTTTAGAACACTGCGGATAGGCCAACCATCCCAAGGGGTATCTTCCCCCAAATGGTCCCCACTTCACACTACAGCTTCACAGCAGTGTTCTCAGCTGCATGCCCCATTTTTTCTTTTTTAAGGGTGCTGTAGCCCCCACCCCATTTCATATATGATTGGGGCTGTGGGCAGCTAACATAGAGATGTAAAATAATTAAAACAAGAGTTGAATAAAATCAGGACAATACAGCATGAGTATAATTATAAAATATATAGATATAAAGTGCTAGCTTGTGTCAGATGGCGGACACAGCAGCATTCTCTGGTAACAGCTGGCTGACATCATAGTTTGGGCTACTTGACTGTTAGCAATGATGTTAAAGTTGCTGTTGGGCCAGGGCTATAGTTGCTTGGGTGCGGCTCCCTAATCGAAAGCCTGGTGGAAGAGCTCCGTCTTGCAGGCCCTGCGGAACTGTATAAGGTCCCGTAGGGCCCTGATGTCTTCTGGGAGCTCGTTCCACCAGTGCAGAGCCACCACTGAAAAAAGCTCTGGCCCTCCGTTGCAGCCAGCCTGGCTTCTCTGGGGCCCAGTAGGGCCAGGTGGTTTAGGGACCCCAACCGTAGTGCTCTCTGGGGAACAGCTTGAGTTCCTATAAGCCCTCACCATGTTCTTTAAAAAAATTTTAAACTTCTTTTATATACCCCACTTTTCTCCCCAATAGGGACCCAAAATGGCATGTAACATTCCCCCATTTTTATCCTCACAACAACCCTGTGAAGTAGGTTAGGCAAGAGTAGCTGACTGGCCTAAGGTTACTAAGTGAGCTTCCATGGCAGGGTGGGGATTTGAGTCTGGGTCTCCCAGATCTTCCAACCACAGCACAGTGCTGGCTGTCTCTTCATGTTCTCTGTGCATCACACAGATGGGCTTTGCACCCACTAAGAACTCTTTGATTTTGGACATTTCTGGAGCTAGTTTTTAGGTGCAAAGATCCTCTTCCCTTAGAGGTGCAGTCTCAGTTGTGCATGCTCCAGAGAGAGAAGACACATGTTCCCATCCAGTTCTCTTGTCCCTTGCAGTAGGGATTATTATTATCGTATGGCATTGTATATAGAATAGCCAGGAGATCCTAAGATTGTTTGGCAGCCAGAAGTTCTAGTTCTTTTTGCGTTATGCACCACTAGGTGGTGAGCTAGACTTGTTTTCAAGGCAAGAGACATTTCAGCGGTGCTTTGCCATTTCCTGCCCCTGTGTCATGGCCCTGGTATTCCTTGGAGTTCACCCTTCCAAATACTAGCCAAGTCCAACCCCACTTAGCTTCCGAGATCTGACGAGATCTTTCTAGCCTGGGCTATCCAGGTAAGGGCTGCAGTAGGGATATCATCTGGGAACACTCCTTTCAGAGACTCCTGTTCTACAAGCTAGTTTTCCCCCCTCTCTCACACAAAAAAAAGTACATGCAGGTCACACAAAGAGTAGCCTGCGGCAAGTGAGTCAAAGTGATAATCATCGCACTGGTGGAAGAGTCCTTTTCCAGTTAACTGCGCTTGTCCTTTAAGAGCTACAGCCTGTCTTTTGAAAGCATAGGAGGGGCATGGTTGGTGCAACCAACCCTTGTATGAAGCTCCTGCTGCCTGCTCACCCGAACCCCAAGCTGTGATCCTGGGTCAGCTAGATAACCCTTCCTTGCTCATGCAGTTGCTCTGGTCTCCCTTGGCAGGTTGACAGTGACACAGTGTGGAACGAAATGCACTCATCCAGCGCGGTCCGTATGGCTGTTGGCTGCTTGCTGGAGCTGGCCTTCAAAGTGGCATCCGGGGAGCTTAAGGTGGGTTCTGCCCAGCAAAGCAGCTTTTCTGCCCTGCAATACCCCTCCTCCCCTCTAAGCCTTGCCCTCAAACAGAGGAAGGGCTGTGGCTCAGAGTTCTTTGCTGCAAAAGGGTCCCCCAGTTCAATCCCCAGCCCCCTCCACTAGATTTCAGTTATTTAGGAAAGGCTTTCTCTGCCTTGATTCTCTAAAGAAATACAGACAGGGTAGCTGGTATTGAGACAGATGGACCAAAGGTCTCGCCACTGTGTGCATATTGTCTCAGAACTGCTGAAAGTGCAGTGGTTGCACTGCCGGTTATCCTTCCTTGGTTCCGGCTCTCGCTGCTACTGCTAGTTAAGAACATAGCGAAGCCCAGTTGAAGGTATTGCTAGAGGCTGCCTCCTCGGAGCCTGCTCGGCAGTCCACCGCCCTGCCATGCCTGGCCTCTCTGCCCAGCGGCGGCGGCTGCTGCTGCTGCTCCTGGTGGCGCTGAGGGCCTCCTGGGGAAGCCAGTTGAGTTGGGCGGGGGGGTGACTTGGCCCGCAGGCACCACCACCCCTAGCCTGCAAAGGGCCTCTGAGCGCATGCAGAGTGCTTCCCGCTAAGCCGGGCTGATGGGGAGGCGGAGGGCAAAGGAGCCCGGGGGGGCACACAGGGCCAGCACCGGGGGGGGGGGCACAAGGGAGCCCCGCCTAGTGCGCAGAAAACCCTTGGGCCGGACCTGGCTAGACTTGCTAGCTTTTGTGCCCTAGCGCTTGGAGCAGGATGTTCCTGAGCATGTGTAGTGTGTGTTCCGCCTCTAACAAGAAGCCACTTTTATGTCAGTTCAGCAAAAGGCTAAATATCTGACCATGTGCTGAGTGGACCCAGGCAGATTTTTGCTCTGCAGGTACATTGGTATGAAGGGCTGTCATCATTCCGTGACTGCAGGGAAGCCATGAGAGGGCAGGTGGGTCTAATTTTGGTGGCACTCACCTCCGCATATTTTTCCTCCTACAGAATGGATTTGCTGTCATCCGGCCACCAGGTCATCACGCGGAGGAGTCCACAGCCATGTGAGTGGGTAGAACAAAGTGGGAAAACAGGGGGCATGTAAACAAAATCTCTCTTTTGGAATTAGGGGGGGATCGTGGTTCAGTGGCAGAGCATCTGCTTTGCATGAAAAAGGTCCAGTTCAACCCCCAGCATCTCCAATAAAAAGGATCAGGTAGGCGGTGATGCAGAAGACCCGGGAGAACTGCTTCTGATCAGAGTAGACAAGGCTGGTACACTCAGACTATGAAAATGTAAATTTGTCTCAAATGCGTAGTGAACTTTTAACACTTCTGGGAGATGGCAGCGTTTTTATATATGTGGCACATTTCCATCCCACTTACCAAGATCTGCTCCAGGAGGCTAATGGGGGGGAGGGGAATCAAGACAATAAATGCAAATGGAAAACAATGACTCACTTAAACAGGGAGCGTGTGGCAATTCTTGTGTTTTCCATCTTTTGTCCTAACTATGCCGTTTCTCTCCCCACTCCCCTTCGTTTCCCAGGGGCTTCTGTTTCTTCAACTCTGTCGCCATTGCTGCCAAGCTCCTCCAGCAAAAACTTGCCATCAACAAAATTCTCATTGTGGACTGGGTAAGGGCCTCTCTTGTCTGCCACTGCTGTTGCCACTTGCCCAAAACGGAACGCACCTGGGGGAATACGTTTAGATGGAGTGTTCAGTGGGAGCTTACTCCCAAATGAGTGTGTGCAGAGGACTCCAGCCTCATGTGCAGGTGCCAACTGGCTTTTCATCGAATAGTTGTGTGCTTATAAGAACACAAGAAGCGCTCTGCTGGATCAGACCAATCGACCATCTAGTCCATCCTCCTGTATCACACAGTGGCTAACCAGTTCCTCTGGAGGGTCACCAGCTGGGCATAGAGGCTGAGACCTTCTCCTGATGTTGCCTCCCGGCTCTGGGATTCAGAGGATTGGTGCCTCTGAATGTGAAGGTTCCCCCTCAGTCACCAAGGCTAGTAGCCATTCATAGACTTATCCTCCATGAATCTGTCTAATCCCCTTTTAAAGCTGTTTATTCCTGTGGCCATCACTACATCCTCTGGCAGTGAATTCCACATTTTAATCACTCTCTGTGTAAAGTAGTATTTCCTTTTGTCTGTCTTGAACCTACTGCCCATCAGTTTCATTGGATGTCCTCAAATTCTGTTATTTTGGAAGAGGGAGAACATTTTCTTTGTCAACTCTCTCCACGCATACTTGTATAAACCTCTATCATGTCCCCCCCCCTTAGTCATCTCTTTTCTAAACTGAAGAGTGACAGACTCTTCAGCCTTTTCTCATAGAGGAGGTGCTCCAACCCCTAATCATCTTGGTTGCCCTCCTCTGTACTTTTTCCAGCTTTGTAATGTCCTTTTTGAGATACGGTGTGGTTGGTTTATCTCCTCTGACTTAATCCCACACTTTATTCTGATCCATTTGTAGTCGGGAGACTTGTGCATAGTTTGCTATGATGTCCCAGCAGAAGGGCGTTTGGCCTTTTGATACTCATCTCTAATTCCCTCCTGGATTGGGCCTTTCCTTTGATTTGATAGACTCTGGGCAGTGCAGCCTTATTGGCTAACTCTTTTTCCCCATTCGTATTCCTAAAGGATATTCATCATGGCAACGGCACCCAGCAGGCATTCTACAGTGACCCCAGTGTGCTCTACATCTCTCTCCACCGCTATGACAATGGCAATTTTTTCCCTGGCAGTGGAGCTCCCGAAGAGGTGATTGCAAACTTTTATTCACCCCACTAGTGCTTGGCTTGGCAATCCCTCTCTAATTGCTGTGCTGAAAATGGATATTGTGAGAGAAAGATAGGCATGGTTCAGACTTAACACCAAACTGAGGCTTGAAGTTGTGTCAGCAAGCCTGGAGAGAAATACTGGGTTTGTTCCAGTGATCTCTCCTCCCTGCTCCCTCCTGTGTTGTATGACAAATTCATTAGTTCCTGGTTTCGGACAAACCATAGTTTGCTGTTACATTCGAACCAGCAAGCTGTGGTTTGTGCTCATCCTCCAAGCCAGAATTGGCATGCCATGGTTTGTTCCTGTCTCGAAATCCTGATTTTCTCAAAGCAAACATGAACTGTAATTTGCCCATTCAGATTTAACTGAAAGTACAGTTTGCTGAGTCCTGACCTGGATAGCCCAGGCTAGCCCAATCTTGTCAGATCTCGGGAGCTAAGCAGGGTCGACCCTGGCTAGTATTTGCATGGGGGACCTCCAGAGAATACCAGGGTCATGTGATGTGGAGGCAGGCCACCTCTGAACGTCTCTTGCCTTGAAAACCTTATGGGGTTGTCAGAAGTCAGCTGTGACTTGACAACACTCCACCAGCACCATAGTTTGCTGAAAAACAGGTCAGAGCTCATCAGCTTACAGCAGGGGTCCCCAACATGGCGCCCGCTGACACATTTCCTAGTGCCTGCCAATTGTTTTTAAAAGTGAGTGGAGTCAAGTGGAGTGTTTGCCCAACAGGGTTTCTGATTGGCTGCACGTTTGTAAAAGTTGCTTTGGCAGCAGCTGCCGCCACAGCACAAGGATCTTCACTGTGTGACTGAAGGTAAGCTGTGTTGTATGCAAGAAAATATTCTTTTAAACAATATGTTCATTTAAAAGGGCATCTTCTTAAACAGAGATTCTGCCTGAAACGTTGAACAGTTAAGAGATACACATGACCTCACTCCCTGACATTCTGTGGCTGGCTTCACCTCCTGCGGCAGCCATTTTGTGGCTGCAGCCACTCTCCTGGGTCAGAATTCCCAAAGTGCCCACAGACTCAGAAATCTTGGGGAATCCTGGCTTATAGCATGCAAAATGAGGGGAGGCGGCAGCACACAAGCCGGGTGTTCTTTCTGGGCTCATTTGTGGAGCTTCAAACTTTCACTGGGGTTTCAGTTGTTGACCTTATTTGCAGGAGGAGAATGGAGGAGAAAGGTTAGGGACAAGTTCTGAAAGAGTCAGGAGATCTGGTTGGTATAAGCAAGGACCCCTCAACAGGAGAAACGAAGGAAGCAGCTTGGCAAAGTTAGGGAGTCAGGAGTGCTCTGTTGAGTTGCCAGGGGTACTGACCAAACCTGTATATGTGTCTTTGCATATGTGCATTCACAAACCTACACAGTAGCCTCATATTCCAAGGCTTTCCCCCTGCATATATCTTGCTTACTGCTGCTTAGATACTGCTCCTCCCCCGCCCCCCCCTGCCCCCCGGTTCAGCTCTTCCGCTGCAGGGTGCCCTCCTGGATGCTTCCCCTTCGCCTTGCAGCTCTGGATGGTCTGAGCTGTGACTATGGCTTTTGTTACCTGTGAGGTTTCCTCTCTTCCAGGTCGGCAGTGGGATGGGTGTAGGCTTCAACGTAAACATTGCCTGGACTGGTGGAGTGGACCCCCCAATTGGCGATGTGGAGTATCTGACCGCCTTCCGGTAGGGGTGCCAACAGTCGCTTAACAGTATTGGGGGCTTCACTTTCAAGGGTGCCTCTGTGGGTAAAGGCCCTCTTGTACCAGCTAATTCTCTCCCGTAATGAGGATCCTGATAGAAGTCGGCCTCTGCCATAGTTGCAGCCTAGAACTGGGGTAGGGGTTGAGATCTTTTCAGGCTTTCCGCTTGCAGGTTATGCAAGGCTAGCCCAAAACTGCTGTAACTATTCCTGGCTAAACTTAATGGCTTCATAGCTTCTGGTCTTTTTCTTCCTGGGACTCCCATATAAGCAGCCTGTTTTAACCTCTGCACCAAGTAACACAAAATTTTTGGATTATGGATGTGCTGCTCTGGAGGTTGAGGAAGGTGCTGGGAAGCAGTGCCCTGGTGTTTTTAATCCAGACAACCGAGAAAAAATATCAGTTTAGGGCTCAGACAGGTGAGACAAAGATGATAGGTCTAGCTCCACCCATAAAATGCAAATTGCAGGCTCATGCAGCCTCAGTTTACCTTTGGGCTGTGCAGGGAAGTGGGCGTTTAATCCCTTCAGCATCTTCAGGTTCATGGTTCGAAACTGGGCTCCCTGCTTTGTTGCTAGCATGTCATTTCTAAGGATACAGCCTGTTTCTTTATGTGTTTATTTACTTCATCTGTAGTTTGCCTTTCTCACAAAAACTCAGGTCTTCCTCAAAGGAAGAGATGTCCGAAAATCGAATTCCTAGTTAAATAGCATCAGTTGGAGCCTATGGCAAAGCTAATAGGCACGATCTTTCCAAGTCATGAGTTTATTTATTTAGATATTTATATCCTACTTTAGATATTTATATCCTACCCAAAGTAGCTTACATCAGTCTCCTCCCCTTCCATTTTATCCTCACAGCCACCCTGTGAGGGAGGTGAGGCTGGGAATGTGTGACAGGCCCAAGGTCACACAGTGAACTTCCATGGCAGAGTGGGGGTTCAAACCTAGGTCTCCGAGATCCTACTCAACACTCTGGCTCTCAGAGCTTAGTGAATAAAGCTGGCTCCAGCAGCCTCACAGTATGCAAGGTGGTTGAGAGAATAGCATTTGGTGACTCTTAAGCCAAATTTTCCTGGGCTTTGTCACCAGCTAGGGCAGGAATCACAAGAAGCCCCCTTCCACCCATGACCATTGCCTGTTGTGTGAAGGCCACAGGGCAAATGCTACCTCTCACAGCTCATCCACATACAGGCAGGAAGAAAATGGTGGGGCAAATCATCTTCGTGGTTGCCAAGCAACCACCCAACCTTCCCTAGTAGTTTCCCGATCTGTTTAACTTTGGCCTTGCCCCTCTCAGCTTTTGACTTCCCTTGTCTCTTCAAAGGAATATCATTTAACTTTCTCAGCTGTGAGGGTGGGCAGGTTAAAGGCAATCAGACATGTTTGCGTCATTAAGAGGAATCATAATTAAAAATCTCGTACTCTCCCAACTCAGTCACCAGCAGTCAGGTTAGGGGCTGGGGTTCTGTAGGAAGACTCCTAGGAGGAAGTTGCTGTTAAAAAAAATGACAGCTCCCCACGATTGGTCTCACCTCCTCTGACTTGCACGGCCGACTGAAATAAACCTTGATTTAATTGCCCTGTTGGGAGAATTGCAAAGAAATGGACAGAAAGGGTGAGGGCACCTGACGTAGCCAGAGGGCACCTGCCGTGGCCAGAACCTTCCCCATCCAAACAGCAGACTGCTGCAGACTTCCATGCTGTTGGGGCTCCTCCTAACAGAAGTCCTTTGTGTCCTCCCAGGACTGTGGTGATGCCAATAGCCAACGAGTTCTCCCCCGATGTGGTCCTCGTTTCTGCCGGCTTCGATGCTGTTGAGGGGCACCTGTCCCCTCTGGGTGGATATTCCGTCACGGCCAAATGTGAGTGTGGGGCAGGTGGAGAGAGGGTTGCTTCTGATTTTCAGTGTAATAACGTTCACATGCAAAAAGGGGGGCACAGAATACCAACTGTTCCTTGCGCTACCTCTAAAATACCAACTGTTCCAGAGCCAGTTTGGTGAAGTTGGTTAAGTGCGCGGACTCTAATCTGGGAGAACCGGGTTTGATTCCCCACTCCTCCACTTGCAGCTGCTGGATGACCTTGGGCAAGCCATAGTTCTGATAAGACCTGTTCTTGAAAAAGAGCAGTTTCTGTCAGAGCTCTCTCAGCCCCACCTACCTCACAGGGTGTCTGTTGTGGGGAGGGGGAGAGAAAGGAGTTTGTAAGATGCTCTGAGACTCTGAGTGAAGGGCGGGGTATAAATCCAATCCCTCCCTTCCCTCCTCCTTCTTTTGCTTACCTGTGATGTGAGAATGGTGAAGTTAGAGTTGTCGTGCCCCCTCCCCCATTTCTGACAGAAATTCTGGTTCATGTTATATAACATGATTGTGTCATATGACATTGTGAGTGGATTTAGGCTTTTGACATGCTGGTGCTACCCCATATTATTGTTTAATTTAAAGGGGGGTGGGGTTTGGCTTTCCCAAGGTAGGTCTGGAAAAAGGAACTTTTGAGTTTATACGTACTTGTGTGTATGTGTGTGTGTGTTTTTTTTAATTTAATTTATACCTCACTTTTACCCCTGTGGCGACCCAAAGTAGCTAATAACATTCTCCCTACCTTATCCTCACAACAATCCTGTGAGAGGAGTTAGGCTGGGAATGTATGACTGGCCCAAGGTCACCCAGCAAGTTGGAGGGGGGGAAACCTCTGGGTCTCCCAGATCCTAGTCTAACCACTACCCCACACTGGCTGAATTGTGGGGTTGGGGGGGGGATCTCTTAGGAGATGCAAGAGGACTGTCTCTGCTCAGCATGCCTGTGCTGGGTGGTTTACAGGGTTTAACCTTACGGGGTTAAAGCAGAAACTCTGTTGTGTGGCCTGGCTAAGTTGCCTTATGCACGATCAGACACTTGGTTCATCACCCACCTTGGCAGCACTTCTAATCACGAAGATGTCCTTAGCAATGGAAGTAGCAAGCTTGGGGAACAGACTAATTTACATGGGGGAAACCTCATGAAGGAAGCGCTAACCACCACTGTCATTCTGCAGCACTAAAGTCCATTTGCAGTTCAGTCCCACCCATGGCGAACCGCATTACAAAATTAGTTCAAAGAAATAGTCCAGTCATGGATCTCCAAGAATTATCCATATTGGACAGTGGGAGGAGATGAATGCTTGAAGTTCATGTTTTCTGCTTGGCCTCGCAGGTTTTGGACACCTGACCAAGCAGCTGATGAAACTGGCGGGTGGGCGCGTTGTCCTAGCGCTGGAGGGAGGCCATGACTTGACCGCCATCTGTGATGCCTCTGAAGCCTGCGTGTCTGCTTTGCTGGACCTCGAGGTCAGTGTGCCTGGCAGCACTGTGTTTTGTTCAACTTCTCTTGAGAAAGACAGGTATGAAGGCTCAGTCCCACTGGCTTGGGAGGAGAATATCAGACGAACCCAGCCGGATCAGACCAGAGGGCTGCCTAGTCCAGCATCTGACTGTGGCCAAACAGTTGCCCTGGAAGGATCAACAAAGAGGGCGCAGAGGCCAAGGCCTCGTAGCACTGATATTCAGAGGTTCGCTACCTCTAAAAATAGATTCGGGAGGGTAACCATGTTGGTCCACAGTAGAAAAGCAAGATTCACAACCAGTAATACCATAAAGGCCATCAAGATTTCCATGGTATAAGCTTTTGAGCATCAAAGCCCCCTGGTATCTGACGAAGGAAGCGTTGGCTCTCAAAAGCGTATTCCTCGGAAACTGGTACTTTAATACATATTTTAATACCTGTTTTAAAGGGCTGCGGTGGCTCAAGTGGTTAAGACGCTGAACTGCAGACCGGAAGGTCGGTAGCACAGCAGTTCAAGACCCAAGTGCCACGTGATGGAGTGAGCTCCCGTCTCTGGCCCCAGCTCCTGCCAAACCTAGCAGTTCGAAAGCAAGAAATTGCAAGTAGATAAATAGGTACCGCTTTAGTGGGAAGGTAAAAGCGTTCCGTGCGCTTCGGCATCTAGTCATGCTGGCCACATGACCACGGAAATGTCTTTGGACAGCGCTGGCTCTTCGGCTTGGAAATGGAGATGAGCACCGCATCCCTAGAGTTGGATTCAACTGGCTTTCAAGCAAGGGAAACCTATTTTATTGGAGTGTTCTCTTCATATTAGCCTTGGAAATAGGTTTTTAACACAGTACCTGGATAATTTTTCACCTTTGTCTCATCACAAGCTAGTTATACTCCTTCTATCTTACCCTTTCTGTTGCAGGATTTTTCCATTGGTTTAGTGTTGTGTCCAAATGGTGCTACTTAACAGAAGTTTTTGACTGCTCAAGACTTTTAGTCAAGGAGCTTTAATCAGATGAAAGGAAATCTTGATACCATTTAAGGTGCTTCTGGGCTCCAATCTTGTTTTTCTAAAAGCAGAGGTTCCCTTTGGACATCATGGCTAGCAGCCATTGATGGACCTCCATGAAATTGTCTAATTGATCTTATGGCCACTGCTAAGTCCACTGGCAGTGAATTCCACAGGGAGGAGTGAAGTATATAAGGTGACAGTGGGCTGTGATTCTTTAGGTGACGGTGGGCTGTGATTCTGCTTCATAAAAGAAATCTGGTACTGATTGGGTCTGGGTGTTGCAGGGCAAGAGGAATAAAACCACCTCTGTCCTGGCACATGAAACAGTATATCAGTTTCTGTTTTAAATAGTCTTTTGATGTTTATCCTGCTGGTGTGGTCTCTCTAAGGCTCAGCTGGAAACGTGTGTGTGGGGGATCAGTTTTGCTTTCCCTTTTGTTCCTCCCAGCCTTCACTCTTGTTGTTTATTTTCTGTTCTTCTTTCTTGACTGTATTCTCATATCTCCGCCCCTCTCAAGCTGAGTCCTGACAGCCTTTTATTTTAGAAACTAAACTCTGTCTCTGTCTCCCTCCAACACAGCTGGAGCAGCTGGATGAAGCTCTGTTGCAACAGAAGCCCAATGCAAATGCAGTGTCCACGCTGGAGAAAGTGATTGAAATCCAGAGTGAGTTTTTGGCCCTGGTCCTTTGGCCAGAAACAAGAGCTGTTTTTTTGTATTGCATTTTGAGGGAGTAGCAGTAAAAAAGTATTGCTGGGTTTTCCTATAAAAACAAAAGTGATAAATGTGTTTTGCAGAGATTCTTACTAGAGAGGTCCTCTCACTCAGAAGGTGGGATGGCACTAGAATGTCTTGATTCACTCTGCACTACTAAACCCAGCTTTGGTGCTGTGAAGTAGGCTAAGAGATTCTGAGAACAGCATCTGAAATGGGAGGTTTTCTCAAATGATAGTGAAGGGGCAAACTTACATATGATGTCGGGTTGGGGACATCATGACTTTTACATGATGGGAAATGACTCCTTCCTGGGGCTGCTTTCAGCCCTAGTAGCAGAAATAAAGACAGGTACCTGTATTGTCTGCAAGATGTTTAAAAGCTTTCAAGTTCCCCAGAACTCTTTATTGGGCTAGGGCTTCCTCAGGGTGCTTTTTCTCTAGCTGGGCTCACCAGGCCCGTAGTCAGGATTTTGTGGCTTGTGGGGCAAAAAATTTTTCTGGTGGGGCTGAAGTTCTCAGTGCAGAAGGAAAAGCCATTTAGCCAATGGAAAGCTGTTAACAGAATAGGTCTCTAAACTGCAAGCTGTCAGCCACTTTAGATGACAGTTCTCAGCTGCTGCAAGTTAATCCCTTCTGCCAGCCTAAGCAACAATTCTGATAACAAGCTGGCAGGTGGAGGTGATGTTTTCTATAGTCAAGAAAGCGTAGGCAGAAAAAACTCTCTTAAAGGAGACCAGTTTCTTGACACAGTTAGAAGGGATCCTAGAGGTCACCTATTCCAACCCCCTTGCTTGGTACAGGAGTCAACTACAGCACCCTGTTCTACTTCAAGGAGAGCACAACTTTAAAAAAAAATGTTTAAAAATGATTGAAAAAAGCATTTACAGGAGAAATTCTTGTGGGGCAGAAGAAAGGCGGCAGAACCCCCAAAAGCCCCACTGTAGCTACAGGGCTGGGGCTCACTTCCACAGAGTCATTGCAGGGGGAAATCTGCAAGGAGAAGGATTAGGGCCTGCCTCCCACTCATTGATTTTCTCCTGTAGATAACCCCCCCCCCCCAATCCCAGCATTATTAGGGAAACAACTCTGCTGGGAAGCAGATGTTATATGACATCTGACAGCTTTAACATCTAGCTCTCCCCTCTCTTGCTCACACTGCAGTTTGACTAAACTTTCCGAGGATTGTAGGCATCTGTGTTCTGTAAACAGAAATTTTTAAAAGCTGTTTGGGCCTCATTCACCTTGTCCAAGCAACTGACACAGAGGTACTGGAATTGTTAATGTATGTGACCTTGAGACCTGACATTTGATAACATGTCAGTGGTATCCTGATTCTGAGAAATATATGAAAATGGATCATTTTTCACCCTCCAAGTGAGATTACTCAGATTGCAAAATGGAATGGTTTAGGTACTCAGATGATAGCAAAAGAGAGGACGCTTGGTACATTTTGTGGTGATGGACACAGCTGATGACTGTGAAAGCCTGAAAGGAATGAGGGGTATATATACATTATAATTTTTAAGGGGGTGGTTAATCCAGTATGTTTCACAATTGCTAAATGTGAAATTTGGCTCACAGGCAGTGTTCCCTCTAAGGTGAGTTAGTGTGAGCTAGCTCACAGGTTTTTAGCCTCTGGCTCACACATTTTTGTCTTGGCTCAGGAAGGATGGCTCCAGAGCAAACTAATTTATGCAGTAGCCAAACTGCTTGCTCACAACTTTAATGCCAGCAGCTCACAAAGTAGAATTTTTGCTCACAAGACTCCACAGCTTAGAGGGAACATTGCTCACAGGTAGCTCCTGATTACTTGAGGTGACTTTTAAAATATAATTCTCATGAGACAGGGAACTTGAGTGAACCTCTGTATTGTTAAGCAGCTTCTAAAACTGGAGGATGTCTTCCCATTTCTAAGAGAATGTTTTTGAGTACATTTGTCTACTGTGGTGATGTCCAAATTCTTCCTAAGATGTACTTGAATCGAAAGAATAGTAGAATTCTTCCAGTACTCTGCCCAAATTATGTTGGTTGCTGTTAGTACGTTGATTATTAAACACTTGATATTGGCTTGAATTTTAACATGGAAAGCTTGATATTGGCTTGAACATTAATAATGCAGCAAAACCAAAACTGGATCACTTCCAGCTCTTTAAATGTTGATTGGTCCAAGCCTAACACTTGAAAATTATCCAGAAATCATTTTTAAAGCTTGGCTATCCTCTGAGGGATATAGGCATCTTTTTGTAGGTGAAGCCTCCCCCTCTCTACTCTCTACCCCAGTGGTATCCCCTCCCTGGGTCACAAAGAGCCTCACTTTGAATCACCATTAACCAAATGAGCCATGAGCTACTGTGTGCCACCCAACCAAACACACATCGCAATGTCCCCTCTAAGCTTCACAGTGTTGTGAGCAGAAATTCTACCTTGTGAGTGAAAAAAGCTAGTAGCATCAAAGTTGTGAGCGAGTCTACGACTATCGTGTAAATTAGACTTTTAGATTTCTTCCATAACCTTGTAAAAATCTCAGAATAAATTATTTTAAATTATATTTAAAATATCTAGGAATAATTTAAACATTATAAGAGAAAACAGAATCAAGTCAAATTTCACTGACCCCTTTCCACTACATTGGTAGACCTGTCCTGCAGAGAACAGCTCTACCCAACCATTTCCACTATATTGGTAGGCCTGGCCTCGGACCATC